AATGCATTTATTTTGGTTTTGGCCTGTTGCCTTGTGGGTAGAAATCCAGAGATAGCTAAGCTTTATTCTATTGGCCTAAATATATGTCCACAAACAATAATACTTAATGTTTTAAGAGGAGGAAGCCCTCTTAAACCCTGTTACTACTATAGGCTAAAAAACTTAACTTTTGTGGCTCTTGGTTACTAAAGGGTATGATTGAAAATAGGAAGGGGAAGCTTATTATGAGAAAGAATGGTATCAATTTTATACCAGATTAGAGTTTGAATATAAAAATAAAATAGTAAACTAAAATTAAAACACACACAAGACAGAAATATAATCAGGATCATACAATATAAAATGTTCTGCACAGATCTGCACCAGAATTAATTATTTCCCATTGATTATTTATTCATCCTACAGAACATGTAGAGGAAGGAGAGCAAACAGAGGAAATTATGTGATCTCTACTAAGATATGTGATAATGAACTGCCCTTTCTGTCTCTATTCAATGACATTTTCTCTCATAATCTTGGAGCTATTTTTGTTTATTAGAACAACAAAAGTAGGCTACCGTGTTTCGGGAATTAAAAAAGAAAACACAACTCTCCCGAGAAAAATCAATCCATTGGTTTTAGAGCTTCTCCTCTGCCAGTGTCTCATTGATTTTCAACTTTGCTGCTATTCAGGGGAAAAAGGAAAAAGATGTCTCCCGCAGCTTTGCTCTGTGTTGCTGTAACCCTCTTTAAAAGGACAAACTCCAGCGCACACACACACACAAACACACACTCACAGAAGCAGCCCGCCCTGCTTTGGCCATTACTGCTCGGTAGTGATTAACACAGAGGTGAACCCATCAACACAAGAGGTTACCTTGGCAACCAGGTCTGTGGCGTACTGGAGTCTGGGAGAAGGAGCAGCGGTGGAGAGGAGGGGCATGGGGCAGCTCTGTGGAGACACACACACACACACACACATTCGCCCTGTTGCTCGTGCTCATTTGCTGGGCAGAGGAGTCGTGACTAACCAGAGCCTCCCCTCACCCCCACCAACCCCCACTCCCCTCACTCCCCTCACTCCCCTCACCACCATCTGTGTACAGTGCTTTTTTCCCTCCCTCACTGACTCACTATCATGGAATCGTGAAGCAAGTAAAATGCCATTCAGCACTCAATAAGAACAATATTGGAATGGATGATGATAACCCCACTGTATTTTTTTCTCTCTGTGGATGGATGGTAACAATGTGTCTGTGTTGTGTGTGTGTGAGAGAGACAGAGAGAGAGACAGAGAGAGAGAGAGACAGAGAGACAGAGAGAGAGACAGAGACAGAGAGAGAGAGATGTTCCTTTTTCGCAGCAGCAAATGTGTTTGATGTCAGAGCGGCACGGAGGCTCCAATGCTGCGCTCAGCCACCTCGCTGCTCTCACATGTTGCCACAGCAAACACTTAGATCCCATGTCTATACCGCCGTCACAGCTGGCTCGATGGGGGCACCTGTGGGATCAGCAGCAACTTTATTTAGACCCCAGCCCCCCCCCCTCCTTCCTACACCCTGCACGCCAGGTCTAGCATCTCCACCACTGCTGACCACAAAGCACTTTCCATTCTCCTCATCTTACCACTCCTCGACCCATCGGTCACACACACCAGCACAGACCGAAATAAACTTCTCTGGCGTTGCGAGGCAGCTAGGATCATCCTGGAGATTTACAGTCTGTCTTTACACACTTTGGTTTACTTTCTCAGGGATATTCCTTCATCAACTTATTAGCAGACGACACAGATACTCTGATAATCTGCTGAAGCTTTGATCACACACACTCCTCAGGCTGGACTCTCCAGATACCGCTTCCACTGCTTCAGCTCTCTGAATGATTTTTTAAGCAGGCTGAATTGGATCCCTGTGTTCATAATCTACTATTTGGATTAACAGATTCCTGCTGGCTCTCAGAAAGTGTAAATAAGTAGCCTTAGCTGCACGGCACAGGTTATTGAGTGTCCATACGTTTGAGGATTTTACGGTTAAATCACTGTGGCACCCTCTGCACTGTCAAGCCCATCAGTTATCCTGTGTTACAGGCGGTCAGGGTTAATCAATGCCACTACCCGCTCATTCAGAGCAGACCGCTCCTTCAGAACGTGGCTGCAGGTGCTTGTTATTACGGTGATGGTGTCATTGTAAATTTTCAGCCTCCGTGGCAGACTGTGGAGCCATATTAAACAGGAGCGTCTTCCCAGAATGCCTCTGACTCATCTGACATTTCAGTCTGAACCCCAGTCACTGTCTCTCCAGCCTGCAGCTCTATCTTTCTCCCTCTATCTCTCTATCCATCTTTCTCCGGCTTTTTGCTGTTCTAATTCAAGGTTACCACTTTTTAAACATCTATCACTCCCTCCGCCCTTTTTTTAACTTATTGCTCATTCCGTGCTCAGACATTTTATGTCACCATTTCCTCGTCTGTTTAAACATTCATCAGGTGAGTTTCAATCAACGTGAACTTCTATTCCTCCTCCGTGCTGTAAAAGGAGGCGTAGCAGTTAAAGCACAGGGTCAAAAATCAGTGAAAACAGTCACCTTTGCACCAGTTTTAGTGGTTGAACCGCCTGGTACTGCTGCTGTTTGTTTCCAGTTGATTGAATTTGGAATGTAATTAGGAATGACTCTGAGGCAAGGGCCATGGGTTTATGGATAGCGTAATATCTCCCCCAGGAGCCCTTTGAAATGGGATTGACTTTGGAAGGCATGTCTAATTATGGTTTTGTACACGGATATATTCACTAAGGGCGGCAGATGCAGCTGCAATCTCGAAGGTCTCAGAGTTGCGGCCATATAGATGGTCAGAACGTCTGCCGAGCTCTACGAGGATATCAAGCTGTTTGCTCCAGGGCAGGGCATAATGAGATTTGAAATAACAGATCTAAAGTACAGACAGTATATTTGTTTTCTATATACACCCGTAGCCCACCATGCCAGGGCAGCATTTAAATTGGTAATGTGTGCATTTGTGTGTATGCGCTAAACAAGTGCGTATTATTAGATTTCAAGTCAGGAGCAAATGGAAACATATTCCCTGAGCTACTGCAGAGTGTGATCCTACATTGTTTATTGTTTATGTGCAACTCTGAGTTTGCTCTCTCTCTTTTTATAAGTTCAAGACCTGCAACATGATCGCACAGGTCTCAGCAGGCATTCAAATAAACAGTTGACATTGTATGTTGAAGCTACTGTATCAGGTGTTCCTCTCCTGTCACTTGGATGACACAGCTCCCTGTGTACTAGTTTCAACACATCAGTGCCAGTTAGAGCTGGGCAATGGATAGATTAAATTGAATTTACTTTTTAAAACAATGCAAAAATTTGAGATTTAAACTATGAATGTTATAATGTTTTGATATACAGCCGCTAAGGATGTAAAACGACCCCAATCCACTCAAGTCGCTCATCTACACAGAACGTATCCCAAATGAGAAGAAGGGCCCCCAGTGATAATACATTACAGGTGACAAAAAAAATAAATTAATCGTAAATTGGTTGTGGTGCCATGTTTCCCAATGCTATAGCGTCAGCAAGGTTTAGTGTCAGGATGTTGTTTTATCAACTGGTAGAGGGGGGATCAAGTCATTGTTGTGCAAGTCACAAGTAAGTTTCAAGTATTTCCACTCAAGCCCTAAATCAAGACAGGCAAATCCAAAACTTTAGGATTGTAGTCCTAAACAGGTTACAGTGCGCTCTTCACCAAATGTAATGGCATTTTTTTTGGAAAGAAAACATCTTCTGGAATATTTCTGGGGAATTTGTGGGCCTAATGACATGTTTTAGACTTTATTATTTGGTTTTGGCTGGGGGAACTTGGACTCATGACATTTGTATTCCTAAAATACAGACATTTACAGCCCTGCTGATGTGTTCAGTTTTAGAGTTGATGCTCCACAAACCTCTGAAAACAAACCCACCAGAAATATTTTAAGGGAAAACAAAAAGTCTCTTGTTTTAAAAAAAGAGAGTCTGAATTGTTAGAGCCATCCAAATTGCATTTCAGTCAGGCTTTGATGATTCTACTATTAGACAAGAGGTTTGTTTGTTCTCTGGATGCATCTCACCAATAGTTTTCAGCATTGTGCTTTGGGGAGGTGCTTGATCCTCCCATCGCTTTTTGTATGAGGAGAAACTGATGCCAGGGAGAGAGAGAGGAGAGGAGAGGAAGAACAGTCAGTAGATTTTATATGAGAGGTGACTGTCGGCTCAAACGTTCACTCACCACGACTCCAGTAATTTCATCAGGAAAATAAAATCTGCTTTTTCAATCAGCTTTCAGCAGTAAATTTAAATTTAAAAAAAATCTGATGATAATTACAATAATAAAAGTATTTTTCTTACGCCACGTTTCAATCTAACAAGAAAGAAAGCTTACAGTACAGTACAGTTTCACATACATATATTTATATCTATATAATTTACTACACGCACATTATCAGTAGCCTATTAGACCTGCACTGTATATTCATAGCTCTGAAGACTAATATATACCGCTGAATAATTTTTGTCCTGTGCAATTATTTATTTTTATACCAAAAATAAACGCCTCTACCTCCTGCTGTAACAATATTCCATAATAATGAATATTTCCATCAACCACATCTAAAGCTGTATATAGTGTACATACAACTCTTATTCTCTTATTCTATTTTCATTAGATCTTGTATTTTTCTATTCTAATTATATTTAATGTGTATTTTCTCATCTGTTGTGTTGTATCTGGAGCACCCACTGTGGGATCAATAAAGTCTGAAAGGATGAGGACTAATTGGAATAAAAAGTGCACAGACACTTCATCTTTTCAATGGGAACAACCAATCCAGGACTGTCTTGACATGATTAGACTGGTTAGTTATTGCTGGGTTGAAATCACACACACATGGCCCTGTGTGTGTGTGGCCCTGCTCCTCCTGCCTCCGCCTCTGTGCGGCACTCATCGCTCCTCATACGGAGGCAGCGCTGCCCTGTACACGCCGCTCCTGCCAGCGGAGAACCAGGCGGATGCACTGATGGCTCGTATTTCTGTTGACTTTCACATTATGTTGTTGTGTGTCGCGGTGTGTCTCCCACCACCTGGCCTCTCGCCATCCCCCCTTTGTCCGTCTGTATGATCGGACCGACTGAAGGTTAATGTCCGGAGTGTGAAAAAGGCAGCCTGCCGGATTGGTGCAGGCGGTGAATGCGCTTTAAAAACCCTCCATCTCTGCCCGACTGAGAGTCGACTGGTAAGTTGAGTTTTACATCTGATGGAGGCAGTTTATCGGCGTCAGTTTGAGCCAACGCAACATGGTTCTGAACTTAAATTCAAGCAAAGCATCGGTGCGTTTGAGAATGTGTTTTTATTGGCGTTTATCTGCAGGTTTTATTGTGTTCAGTTTTCTGATGTAAGATGGGTGAAACCTGCCTGTGGCGCTTTTAGAGACATGTTGCTGAATTCGGTCAGTGAGCCATAAATGTGACACCGGTGGGGCTGCTTTTCTATATCTCACACTTATTAAGATCCGTTACCGACACCTGAACTTGTTAACGCACGCGCATCTCTTCGTCACGCGCACGAGGACGAGCGGCGCGTGCGCAGAGGAGCGGTCCTCGTTCAAGGCTCAGTCATAAATTGTTAAAAACTTGTGGAGTCATTCACTTTAAAGCTCCGCATTTATACACACACACACACACACACACACTGTGGCCCTGAAAGACACGAGAGGTGTTGCATTTTCGGTCTTAAATATTTAAAGTTTGTCAAACAAGCACGTTTATTTCCCTGCAGAAGATACCGTATGTGGTTTAAGACTTGGTGAAATATCCCTTTACAGATGTGTAACCTGATGTGTGTAGTCAAGGCCTGATCATCACATGATCCTGTATAGATAAACTATATTCATATAAGGGCTGCAACTAACGATTTTATCATTATTGGATAATCTGTTGGTTATGTTCTCGATTAATCAATCATTTTGTCTATTAAATGTCAGGAAAATAGTGAAAAAATGCCTATTTGAATTTCTCGGGGGCCAAGGTGTCGTCTTCAAATAGATTGTTTTTTCTGACCAAAGGTTAAAAAAAAGATATTTTCTTAGTAAATCTCATATTTAAAAAGCTAGAGCTTTTTTTTTTTGTTTAATTTTTTCACCTCTGTTTGTTATTCACTGCTGGTAGCAGCAATTTTGGCTAATGATGACTCTCTCTCATTAGATTTTGAATAATATGTCATGTTTTCATTGTTTAAAAGTAAAGAGTAAAGTCAGATCCTTTATCTGTCTCATCCGTCTGCTGTGGTGATGGATGCAGTAAAACATGTTTTACAACCACACACAGTAGGCCTCTTTGTGTGATATGTCCTGAAAAACTAAAAGGTAAGAGGAATCATTTGTATGTGTACGCTCACCATCTCTCACTATAACGTGTGGCCTTGACTCAGGCTGTTCATGTGAGTTTACATGTGTCAGAGTGCGACATGCTGAGGTGTAACATAGTGGGCCGAGTGAGCGGCACTCTGTTGCAGGGAGGTGCCAAAGCCGAACCCTGTCCTCGTGAGGAATCTCTCCCTCCTGTTTCTACACATCATGTTGACTCTAGCTCCTTTGAGCCCTCTGCAGCTGACATTAAAGTGGTTGTGGTTTGTAAAGCTGCACCCAGTTGTGTTCAGATGTATTTTCCTGCCTCCAGAAATAACCCCCCCTTGTCATTTTCTCCTGATTATCTCGACTGTAGACAGCAGAGTCACTTTCAGAGATCACTCAGACAGAATAAATGGATTGGCTTTGATTGAAAGACGCTGCTGAGAGCAGCGTGTCTGCTTTGCACCTTTTCCAGTCATCTCAGCATTTCATTCATCTTACTCCTGCGGCGTGAGGCGGTGTCCAGCAGGAATTTGATGTTAAGTCCAAGTCCCAGCTCGGATCCAGGTTGTCGTTGAGGTTTCCACGTTGAGCGCTGTGAGGTTGCCGGCAGGTTTGATGCTCTAGTTTTCCTGCAGGTGGGTCACGTTTCCAATTTGTGTTAGCGGAGGTGGAACCGGACCCCTGAGGAATCTCCACCCCTGCAGAGAGAGCTATGGAGATGTGCGTAAGAAGATTTGTGAGGTAGGACCACCTGTTGACAGACCCAGAATGATTGAGAGAGGGTTGTTTTTTGTAACATCAAGAGAAGAAGAAAGAAGAAATGTGGGGTTCGATTTGCCTCAGGAAGATGTGCAGTAACACAGAGAAAGGTGCTCCACTGACCCTCCTCAGTGTCTATTTTTTTTATAAATCCTCACATTAAATTTGATTGGCAGCGAGCTGCAGTATCCCCACTATCGCCAACATTACAGTAAATTTTTCTCTGGCGACAGCCTCTGCATAATTCTCCCTCCTCTGCTCCCCACAACCTCACTCCTGCCCTGCCTGGGGTATAAATAACCATGTGGATGGAGCAAATCTCAGCAAAGCCCGGCGCTGTGGTACATCAGCACTTTGGAGAAGGCCAGGGATTATTTGGTTTTCTTATCTTCCTCATCGCTCCGTTGATGTGGCTGCTACTGTCTTATACTGTGGTCAGTAGGTTGCCGCAGCAACAGAGTTTATACTTATCCCGTATATATGTGTGATGAATTAATGCATCAACTGTGCATCCTACTGAAGCAGAAAGTCTTCTGTTCGTAGTTCACTTTTTCAGGTTTAGCAAGATGCCACTGTTATTGTAGACTGATAGCAGACTCTGAATCACTGCCCACATCATGTTTTTTCAGCGATTCAGATAAGTCTGGTGTTCTCATTGATTGCTGTTTCTCTGCAAAAAACAACCGCGTTTTGTAGGTGGGACTAAAAAAAGCAACACACAGATATATAGATTGTTGTAAGACTATACCATAGATCAACCTCTAAATTCAGCATTAAATGTCCTGTGTGTAACATTTAGGAGGCTCTATTGGTAGAAATGGAATATAATATTCATAGGTATGTTTTCACCATTAGTGTATAATCACCTGAATATAGGAATTGTGTTTTGTGATTGGATAAACCATCTTGAGCGAACTTCAACCAATCAGATCAACAAACCGTATGCTGTTCTTTGCTCTTCTTTCAAATAAAGAAATACTCTCCAGTTGTAATATAACTCATACTAGCAGTATCTACGCTAACCTCTTAGCCACCGAGCGAACAGTCAGTCAGTCAGTGGTTCGCAACCACTGTGTTCAGACACAAGCTCGTAGCTTAAAGCCTGGCAAGATAGATTCTTACATGATCTGCCAGTGCTGTAGTACTCGAGTCTGGTCTTGAGACGTTATTCCCATTGTCTCTGACTTGGACTCGTTCGTATTTGCACTCGGACTTGGCCATTTGTAATGGTTACCAGGCAACCAATGTCACTTGCAAGTGTATACCTGGCTGCCTAAATCATCTCATTGGTAACGGCTATAGCTATTTTATTTTTTTGTCTCAGTGGACTTGGACTTCAACCTCTTTGAACTGAGTCTCAACTAGTCCTGGTCTTGGACTTGTTTTGGACTCCATCAAGGTGGTCTTGACTACAGCACTGCCAGCTGCCTTGCAAGGTTACAGAAAACCTGCCCCAAAAGATTTTTTGGGCCATTTGGAGGACCACAACAGGCTGTAAACTCACTGTAGTGGAGTGTAAAATGGGTGTATCAGAGCTCGAGAGTGAACCAAAAGAGTTAAGTTGCAGGCTAAACCAAAAACATGCCGAATGACACTAAAATACTCAGTAAAGCTGAACTGCAGAATCGGGTGAAAATTCTCTGCTTGTTTATCACTAAAACTACACTTTTTTACATTACACACAGTAGTCTTTTTTTTTTTTTTTAAGTATAGAAATGTATGGATTAGTGCAGCTTTAACTGCCCCTAGAAACCCCTAATGCATCTATGTCGACTGAACACTGATACATGATTCACTAATGATTGATTAGAAGAAGCTAAGCCCCGAACAAACAGGAAATGGCTAAAAAACACGATGCAAGACTGAATAATGTGAAACAGACATGGCAGTTCAGTCTGATTATCAGTCTACAGTTGTTATAAGATATACATATTGGTGCATTTCCTGTTTGCCTTTATAATGACCATGTAACATTTTATTTACTTATCAAAATATAAGTGTTGTTAGGGGGACATATAGGGCTGCAACTCATAATTATTTTAATTATCAGTTAACCTGCATTTCCTAAAGTTTCCTAAAGCCCAAGTTGGTGTCTAAATATCCCCAACCAACATAAGAGAAAGAACAAGGGATATACAACACAGATAAGTTTCTCCTACTTAGTTATCATGTAGAATGTGATGCTTCCTGCAGAAAAGCTGTTCACACTTTGGTTCAGTGTCGCTCTCATGTATGTTGGACCTTCCCCTGAAACACTTGTTTTCCAGAGTCTGGATCACTTTATCTGTTGTCTCATCACTAGCAGCAACCAGTGTGAAGGAAGGTGGAATCCGCTGCACCACAGCGCAATCATGGTAACCATTTCAGAGGCAAAGTGCAGGTTGATTGGCAACCAGGAGTGAGCCAAACAAACTGGGCCCAAACGGAGGGAGGAGAGTGTTGTTTTTAGCCTTTGATCCTTTTTTTGTTGGTTTTATTTTGGAAAGAGATGCAGACCATGCTGAGGTGGCAACACTGTGGTCAACAGGAGGAGAAGATGTAGAGGAGAGAGAAGAAGAAACAGTATTTCTGTTTGTACTGGACACTTACTTTTTTATTTTCATGCAAACAATTGGCAATAAAACTTTAAAAACTGAGGCTACACCCTGTTTAATATAGACAGAGAATATCTTGTAGGGAAAACTAAAAGATTTGACAGCTGATCCCAAAGCACTTTCTACTAGCGACCCTTCGTCACCAGTTGTGATCATCTGTGATCATCTTTATGACTGCTTCTGGCAAGGGGATATGGTGCCATTGACAGACCTGAATAAAATTACAGATTTCTCTGGGTTTGAACAGTTGGAAACATTTGGGATATGATGTTGCACAATATAACAAAATATATAACATAGGTTTAGTGTTTAAGGACATGTTAATGTGGAAATATTACACAATATAGCTTTAAATAATACATGACCCCATCATTGATTGTAGTCACGTCGTTCCGATTTTCACAGTTTAATTAATAAGAAGAATCCCAGTCTGTCATCCACAGTCTCTTCTCAGGTGACAGCAGGTGATTTTCTTCTGCAGGTTGAATTCCAGTTTAAAGCAGTTGACCTGTGTGTCTTGTTAACCAGACTGTAGCAGAAAATGAAAGAAAAAGACCTGCTGGCCAGACTGGTGCACATAGTGTGGATGACGCACGACAAGTGCAACAGTGTGTGCAGTAGCGCCTGGAGCTGTGGGCTCTCTGCTGATAACTTAAGTATTAATGCAGGAGGCTATTTCCATCATATACAGTGCAGCCAGAAATGTCACATTACGGTTCCCCATAATATTTTTTTTTCTTCACAATCTGCGTCGTGCATCTTCATGTTCATGTTACAGCTCATAAACACGAGGAAGATCGTTTTGATCATCCTATTTGGAAAAAGAAAATGGAATTAGATGAATAAACTTCTGAAGATTTCGTGCTTGAATGAAGTGTTTTATCAGCACACTTTGGTATGATCATACAGTATATTATTACTTTCCACCCTGCCGTTTGGTGCCATCCGAAAAGACATTAACAGCAGCAATAGGCAGAGAGAGGAGAGATGTAATCTGTATGTGAGGGCTGTGGATGGATGAACATGAGGTGAGTGTATGTCTCCGGGGGGTCTGTGCTCACATGGCAGAGGGAGGTTCATCTCAGTGTGCAGCACGGAGGCCATCTGACCTCAATGTAGAGAAACATACAGAAGAGATAAACTGGTCTCTCCAGTTGAGATATAAAACTTTTCATCTAACTGTGGATTCATGAAACCACTTTGATGTAAAGTGGAGACTGTGGATCACTGGGTCACAACTTCACAGCAGCATGCTTTTGAATTAGTCAACTATTGTGACTGATCTGTAATTGTTTTGTCTGTCTGGTGCGATGACTGCAAAATAACATTTCCTAGAAACAACTGTCTCAGCACAGTGCCATCCAAAAAAAAAGTGCTTGTTGCTCGGAGTCTTGGCAAACAACTGCGATGTTACTCGTCCTTGTGAGGTGTTTTTATGTTTGTCAGCCTGCAGTGAAACAGAGAAATGTTTAATTTAGACTGAAAGTGAAATGTGTTTGTGTGTTACAGGAGCTGTCTGGCTGGTCCCACTTGCACTACTATGACTCTGAGCTCCTGAATATTTTGCTTTTTAAAAAGAAAAAACCCAACTTGTCATCCCTCTTGAAACCCATTTGATTCCTCAATGGGTTCCCGCAGCCAAGGCTTCTTCCACCATCACCACCACCACCACCACCGTAGCTCCATGATGCCTACTGTGGTGCCGAGGCTGCTGCCTGAGAGCGGCAGCCTGCTGGGAGGCATCGCACAAATCACCCCAAACCTCTTCCTCAGCAGAGGGAACGTGGCATCCAACCGCAGCCTGCTGCTGTCCAAAGGCATCACCTGTGTGGTCAACGCCACCATCGAGCTCCCCAACTTCAACTGGCCTCACATGGAATACGTAAAGGTCCCTCTGGCGGACATGCCCCACTCCCCCATCTCCTTGTACTTCGACAGCGTGGCCGATAAGATCCACAGCGTGGGACGAAAGCGAGGAGCGGTGCTGGTGCACTGCGCAGCGGGGGTGAGCCGCTCAGCCTCTCTGTGTCTGGCGTACCTCATGAAGTATCACCGTGTGTCTCTGGCCGAGGCCCACGCCTGGGTCAAGGCCCGCCGCCCCGTCATCAGGCCCAACGGCGGCTTCTGGCGCCAGCTCATCGAATATGAGAGGAAGCTGTTTGGTAGAAACTCTGTTAAGATGGTGCAGACGCCCTACGGGGTCATACCTGATGTTTATGAGAGGGACCGCAGGAGCCTGGCTCCGTACTGGGGCCTGTGAGAGAGGCTGTGCCAACCATCCACAGTGAGGGATCGAGGAGGAAAGTGAAGTTGAGCCCTCTTGCCCTCCTGGACTGCAGGTTCTTGCGTGTCCAGGACAGGCGAAGTGAGACGCGTGTGAGTGTACATCTTTTGTGAAGCTTATTTAATAAATACTGGTGCGTTTGGACGGAGGGAGTTCAACCAAACCCTGGTTGTTGATGGTCATCCAACCAGTTGCCTTCATTTAGTCTTTGAGTGGGAGCAAGGCGACTTCCAGCCCAGAATCCTTAGGACCAAAGGATCGATTTTGGACCACAATGATGTCAGACACCAAAATAAGATCAGAGTGTGGAAGTGGGTGCTGTCTATCTCCTGGTCTGTCTGTCCAGTTCCAGTGGAGGACAAGCGCTCTGTGAAGGCTGAGACTCTGCAGCTCTGACAGCGATGTGACTGAAGTCCTTTTCCTGACGTGGTGTCATGTGGTGGTATTGTGCCAGTTTTGCAGTAGTCTTTAGTGTGAAGGGCAGCAGCATGCTCTCAATTTATAGTAGCATTTAAGATAAGTGTACAGAAAAAAAACTACTATATAGACATTATTTTATTGGATATGTACTGATAGTGAGGGAAAAAATGATTATGGGACACTTTAAGATGTTAGTATATCTACCTTTTTGAAGGTGAAAATCTAGAAGATGTAAGCTAAAAGTCAGGTTTAGGGAAAGTTCCTGTGTACCACAGGGTTGACTGTTCCATCCTGTGACCACACTATGTTATTGTAGTGCTATTTGATGCTGTATTTAAAAAAAAAATATTTGCTGCCTCAAAGGAAACTGGTAGCTCTATGATAGATGCGTGGAAGACTATTTTCTATCCTACTGTTTTTGCCTTGTGTCCATATTTGGGTAAGGTTGCAAAAAGGATCAGTACTGATTTTATTTCTCTGTGTGAAGCAGCCTACTTTTGTGGTTTGTGCTCTTCTAAAGAGCGATGTCACATAGGCTGAAAATCCTGCTTCTACTGTCCTACTGTTCTTGCTGTCCACACTGCAGAGATACTGTTTAGCACTAAATAGTTGTAGGGGTGAGACAAAGAATTTCTACCACACATCAAGATTTTGCCACCAATTTTATCACATTAAGGAAACATAATGCAGTGATTGTTTGGATTGTTGAAAATGTCCTATTTTACTGGGTCCTGTGGAGTAAACCAAAGTTATATTCACATTGAGTTTTTACATATTTTAAATCCAGCATTAGACCCAGTGTCGACATTAATCAGAGAAGCTACAATCAGCTTCCCAGATTTGGCACTTCATGGCTACCGTACAGCCTGTATGGTGAGCCCTGTGTGTGGTACAGGAGCCAATTTAAATGCTTCAATGATGCAATGCTAAGTAAAGCGGCATCAGTGTGTGTTGCATTTTAATTTATTCTCAAATGGCTCATTTTGTCCAAAAAACCCAGATATAAAGATATTTACAGTCGTATAAAGCGGAACAAAAGGAGCAAATTCTGACATTTTAGATGCTGGAACCAGAAATAAATGATTATGAAAATTGTTCACAAATGTAATAATTATAATATATATGTTAAACCATCGTTGTGGTTGTTGTGGGCAGTGATACTCGTGTCAGTTTTGTATTGTGATTTCTTGACTCTCACCCCTACGCTATATAGTGTAATATCACTGTTGGATGTGGTCAGACATCACAGACTGCACGCAGCAGTGAAGTTGCGTGGTGTCGAACGTAACAGAGCTGACATTTTAAACCCACAGAGATGCTTTTTTCCAACAATGCCACAATAGATTAAGTGTGATATTACAATTTAAGAAAAAGACTTAAAGTTTAGGGGTAAATAATTGTTAGCAGGAGAAAGATGCACAATCTGTAATCTGACTTCAAATAATTTCCTGCCCCAAGAGAGTCATATTAAAATAATTTAAAAAAAGGAGCTCATGTCACTGTTTGTGTTCACATTTGACCTCTACACAGTATTTCATTTTACTGGATTCAGAGTAAAATTTGATTTCAATTAGCAGCTAAACTTTCTACTATCTTTTTTTTGTGACGTCTCTGAGATATTTTTTCACATTTTTTTGAACAGACTGCTGCGTTTCCTCCTCCAAAGGCCTCTTGATGTTCACTCTGCTCAGCCATTTACCCCAAGAGATGTCTTCAGATGTCAAAGAAATGTTCTGTCATTCATTTTCATTTGCTGCATCTACAGAGCAGCAGGCAGATATTGATGAGCGCTATTTGTCTTGTGCCCACACTTCTGAGGGACCTCCGGAGTGGTCTCCAACAATGAATTCCATTACCCAGCGAGACGAGGCCCGTCTGATGACAGGCCGACCACCACGGAGATGCACAAGTGATGGGCTCAAATTATACACTGCGCACACTATTTTCTCTCAGCAAAAAAAAAAAAATCTTCTTTTACCTCACCAGCCCCTTTCCTTCGTCTTAATGTGAGTACATGCATAACGTTTCCAGGGCATAGTCAAGCACTAAAAGTAAACACATCCTTCACCAGCAGCAGGATATTATCATCTATCATTAAAGCAGTAAGCAGAGCCATTTGCATCATCCTGAGCATCAGAGGCAGGCCAGGCTCCAGCGGTGCAGGCCATGCAGAACGAACCACGCTGATGAAGTTTGAGGAGATGACATTCAGATGAGACGGCAGCAACTCGACAGCATGCATCAGACCCTGGTGAGCGGTTGCCATTACTTTCATTATATCATAATTTGTCTGGGTTTATTTTGATTAGTCGTTTAATGTTTATAAAATGTCAGAAATTAGTGAAAAAAACCTCTTCATGCCCAAGGCGACATGTTTAAATGTCTTGGTTTGTCTGACCAACCATTTGAAACCCAAATATATTCAGTTTATAGTGATATAAATAAATTGGAGAAAAGACATTAAATCCTCATATTTGAGAAGCTGGAAACACCTAATATCATATCAGCGTGGCTCTAGGGATGGCAATGTCGGCCAGTCGGTTGCAACGTTATTATAGGTAACTAAAATTTAACTAAAAACTGAAACTAGATGTGAAAAAAACCAAAACTAACTGAAACTACATTGTGTACTAAAACTAACTAAAATAACAATATCAATGAAATGTCTTTAGTTTTACTCACTTTGGTCCAGTTTGTCAACACAACAACACAGGAGGTGTTGGTATATGTTTATTGAGACTGGGATGTCTACATGACTTTGACTCAATGTGTTTGTAATACCTGTAATACCTTTTATTTATATATATATTTTTTGGTCTTTTATTGCCTTTAACTGATAGTGACGGCTGAAGATAGACAGGAAAGGGGGTAGAGAGAGGGGATGACACGCAGCAAAGGGCCGCAGGTCGGATTCAAACCCCGGGCAACTGCAGCAAGGACTTGGTACATGGTCGCCAGCTCTACCATGTGAGCTAACCAGACGCCCTGAGCCTGTAATACCTGTAATACCTGATCTGAACTTCTTTAATCTTGCCCCTGACAAAACCCCCATATTATAATAAAAAAAAACTAAAGCTAAACATTTTTAAACAACAAAAATTAAAACTTAAATTAAAATGAACTAAAAAACCTAAATATAAACTTGTGAAAAATACAAAAATACAGTAACTCTGGTTGGTCGGTGCACCGCTTCATTTCAGAAATCGCAACAAGTTTTCATACATACATCCATGATCCAAAGACAAAAGAGTCAGTGCCACTGTGAGGTCGACATTTAAGGTTTTAAGGTTAATTATCTTAAATGATTGGATGTATTCTTTAAAAATTGTTACAGTTAGCCAAGACACTAGAGCAGGGGTCTCTGGCTTTTTACATTGCATACCACCCACTGACAGTATATATAAGGTACTACCTGAGAAAATATTAGGCTCTCCTAAGTACCACTATTATGATGATGAGTAGCGACGGCCGACAGCAGGAGGCAGGTATATTCCTATTAAGAAGATTATTTATTGTTGACTGTTGTTGAATTAGCCAGAACTGAAACCAGAGCTTATCTGGTGGAAAAGGGGGTACCCCTGCTCCAACACGATGCTGGTGTTAACGTGTTGTTATCAATAGGTGTAAATCTTGCATTTCCATTTTAGCAAGGCGATACGCACAAGGCCAGTTAATACAAACAAGCTGCTTTCAATGCTGCTTCAATGTCAGGCACGCCACCCTCGTTATAGTCATAATTTGACAACCGGATTTAGCCACACAGCAACATATGCTTTGACTGTTGGATGTGATTCAAAGTGTGCATCACAGTTGCAACAATAAAGGCAGCAGCCACATGGAGAACGCTGCTTATATGGCTGCCAACAGCACACAGTCCCAGGAGACGCTTTTTTTTTAAATCCTGCTACTGCTCTTTCATGTTAAGTTAATAGTAATATAAAGAATCCATAACCGAGCATGAAATAGAGGACTAAAAGAGGGTAAGAAAAGTTAGATTGAGGGTCATCTGAAGTGCAATAAGACCTTGGATGATACAGTTCTGGTCTGTCGTGATTCTTCCTCAGTGAGCAGCTGAATAAGTGTGTGTTCTCTGTGGTGTAACGGTGACTCATCCGTCCGTCGCCTTTAAAGCCTCAACTGTCTGAACTGATTGATAGAGCGGACACTGAGGCACAGGACTGTGAGCCACGGAGCTGTACTCAATTTGTAATGAACGTCTCAGCAGTGAAAATGACTCATATTTTTGTCCAAGTCATAAATGGTTAAAATACAACAACTACAAAACCTCTCTAAAACAGCTTCAACAAACACTAATGATAACCGAGATAGGATTTTTTGTGGGGCTGGTGTATTAGCATTGTTTTAGCTCTGTCTGTAATAGTATATATATATATCAGCTGATCAATAACAAGAAATGCCAAAGATACCGGGATGTTCGAGGTCATTTAGAAACCGTAATGTCATTACATAGTTTGTCCACTAGAGAGCACTTATTGTACATCTTTCAAATTACATTTTAGAGTTATAAAATGGTACAGAATACTTGTTAAGTGTAGAGTGGGAATACTACTTATCTATTTCAAATCATCTCTTAATTTTATTCTCTATCAACAACAATAAATAATCCTCCTCATTAAGAATATGCATAATATGATGCAGGAACCGTCCGTAGCTGAATAGAGTCGGTCTACGCTACTGTATTTTAACGTTTGTAACTGGAGGGCCTAATATTTTCTGAGGTGTAAGGCTATGCGGTGTAAAATGTTTTCATTAGTGTATAATCACCTGAGAATAAGTATTGTTGTGTCTTCGGTACCTTTGAATGAGCCGTTTATATCGACGGACGCCTCTGGTTCCCTTTCATGGAGGCCGCCATGTTAAACCGCCATGTTTCTACAGTAGCCCAGACCGGACAAACCAAACACCTGCTATAGATGGGGACATTTGAGTTTTTTGTGCGCTTCATGGCTACCGTAGTTTCTCCTTCGTGCTTGGAATGGAAGACAACACACTGGTCCTTTAATATATTACAGGGAGAAGACATATAGATATTTTGAAGCTCTTCCTCTATCACCCTTTAAACTTTTAAAACCAAAACTTTTTGCTTTTTAAACTACCTTTTTTGAGCCCCTGTGGATAAATGGAAATGTTATCTAAAGAAAGTAAAGCAGGAAGCAACTCTATTCACACGGATGAAGGCAATCAGTTGAACTTAATGTGCAGGAGCAGCTGTTTTTAATCAATAATGTGACTGTGGCCATGAAATACCAAAGAGCAGCAGTCAATACAGCACAGTATCACTTCAATCTCTCTTCTCTCCCAGAGTGAGAATCATTTCAGTTTGGCATCACAGACAATAGGCGTGAAGATGACAGGCAGAGGAATGAGAGGGACTCTCTGCATTTTGAATTACAGTCTTATTCAGTAATTGATTTCAGCGCCTGTAATTTTCTGTAATCCCGGTGTTCACCGTGAGAGGAGAGGAATTCATTTTCTGCAGGAAATGAATTAGGGAACGGTGAGAGATAAAATGGATGTTGGAGAACACACCTGAACACAAGTGTGGGAACAATAATGAGACTGGTTTCAGAGTCCGCCCCCCTCCTGCCTCCCCCCAGACATCTCATTTGATTGGCTGCAGCTCAACCCGCCAACGATGGCCCGGCAGACTTGTCGAAGGAGAATTTATTCCATTTTGTCGCAAAGTGATGGAGATAAGGCCTCTCTGGCTGTAGAGAAAGTACATTATTGAGTGAAATGACAGAGCGGGAAATGTGCAGAAACATTCATGCATACGGGAGAGGAAGTTTCACGGGGGGAAGCAGGCATAATAAGATCAAAAGGCCACATGAATTAAATGTCTCATTTCAAAGCTGTAATACACTCATACTTAAACAGTTCTTCTGATGAATTAATCCAGAAAACCAAAATAATACCTCTTATAACATAGAACTGATTTTTTAAGTGTACAACAGGAAGAGTTTTTGGAAATATGCATTTTTTTTCTTGCCAAGAAATAGAGAAGATTGATACCACACTACTCAACATCAACAAAATCCCACTTCCAGCAGTTCTAAAGCTTAATAATTACCGTATTAGTCACATTTGTTGTTGAATAAATAAAAAAAAAACCCAATAAGTTACATTAAAACTGAAAACAGTTAGAATATGTTCGTATACTAGTTTAATTTAATTAATCTTTAAATATATTAAAGTAGGCTATGAGATGTAATATGGAAGAGTACACCATTTTCTGTATCTGTTCAACTAACTCAATCATCTGTAGTCGGGGCTTATACCAAACGTGGGTTGTGCTTAAGGCAGAAGTGGGCGGTACTAACCAGAAGTTATTAATTTAAGACTGAAAATGAAATTTATTTATTGGAGCAATGTTTTTGATCACAGGGGTAAGAAAACTGTACGCTGGTTTTATCTGTTTTATAGTTATGAAATGTTATCCTACTAGCTGCCATTTTTACCTTTAACTCTGATATAACGTCACCTTCAGCTCCCATACCGTGGATGTTCCAGTCCTGAACAGGTATTTATAAAATGTACCTGTAATCCCACATGGTTATATAGTTAGTTAATGTCATGTTCCTTGCCTTTGGGATAATAATATGGAGCTTTTAAAGTTTTAAAATACACCATACAGAGTATTGCTTTTATAACAGCCCCAACCAATAATAATTTGAACATACATATGGACGTGCAAGTATTTTAATTTTCTTTCTGTCTGAAGTTTTTGCCTCTTTAAAAGGAAGTGTTTCCTGCTTGCTCATGGTGGGAACTGTTGGGTCTCTGTAAATAATTTTATACGGTCTAGACAAGGGTCCTGAGATAACTTCTTCTATGAATTGGCACTATACAAACAAAACTGAAATTTAAATTTAAAAAAAACAGCCAGAATAATAATCTGTGACACTTAAACACAATAAACTATATGCATATTTATTTACATCACATTCACATTACAGTCATAATTACAATGCTACAGCATCACTGCAACTGTACAAAAAGTGCTGCTGCAATTTTAGTTCAGAATCACAGTCAACTTCTTCCAGCTCTAGTTGCACAAAACACCAAAACAGAAAAACAAAACCATAAACATGTTTCCCTTCCAGTCACAAATCACAACTTTTTTCCCCTATAAAATACACCATTTAAATACCCCAACAGTGCAAAAAACATTCAAAGCAGTTAATCCAACACGATTCATAAAAAGGCAGACACCCGCCTTAGTTTGAATGGTTTGAATGTTAAAGATTTCAGAAGTATATTAAAACAGCCACAGAGTTTCATCAAACAGACCCGACCGACGCGTAATGTAATTCAAGTACAATAATAGGCTTATGATTCAACAGCTCTTGTGCAGTGGGAAAAAAAAATAAAATTCCTCTCAAACAGAAGCAAAGCAACAAGTGATGTTTACAGACGTCTTCTGCCAGTGTTTGTAATGATATTGCACACCTAATAATTTAAATATGAGTCACTGATGAGAGATTTAGTAATATTGATATTTTTCTGCAGTGAAAATCAGTAGGAATCATCTTAAAAGCATCATTAGTAACTAATTTAAATATGACTTACTTATACAGCTGACCTATATGTTTTTTAGATAATTAATGTAGAAGAACAAAAGGGTAACAATAATGCCGTTGGGTAATTATTTAGAGAGAAGCTTTGAAACAACTCTGCCTGAGTGAGAGCTGAGTTCACTAAAACTGTGACAAGACGGAGCAGAATAAGAAACAAATAAATACAGAGGGATCCAGTGACTTTAAACGTCCTTCTCTCGCTCTCAGTCCAAGGTGAGAGCCCGTGCAGTGTGAGGTGCGACGTTGCTCCACCTATCTGATGTTGATTAGCCCGTGCACCGTTGCCATGGCAGCTGAAGCTCAGAGCAGGTCAGGCAGTATGAGGCCCGGGGGTTTGGGCTCCACACAGTTAATCCAGAAATTGGCACAGCTGGCGTGGTACTGGTGGCCCCCGTACAGCAGCTTGAAGTTGTCCGTCTCCGAGTTGAAAGCCTGTCAGAGAGAGAGAGGGTGAAGTATTACACACCTGAGTGACAAAGACAATAAACACATCTGTGCACACAGGAGGGGAGAGGGATGGATGTGAAGGATATGGACAAGGAACGAGACGCTTTCTTATTCCTTTACCGCTATGGTCTAACTATGACTGATCAGATTCTGTGTGCACCATCCAACAGTTTGAAGTCTGAATCCTAAAAATGCACCAGTGTTCATTTACAGCATGATTCACATATGAAGAGCAGCATTGTGGTACAGACTTTAGGTCCTGTGTAAGGAAAAATCACCTTCTGGCAAGAAAAGGATTTCAACACACACAGGGTTTACAGGCATGCAATACCTGCTAGGAAAGATTTAACTTTCTTATTTGTTTAAAACTGCCTGCATAAAATCGGACGTGAATACAAGGAAAGGAAAATATTCCACTGCGTATAAATAAAACATAACCTCAAATAGTTAACGGCTAAGGCTTTGTTGTAACTGTAATAACTGAAAAGTGCAAATGTGTATCTACAGCCACATACAATAAACATCTCATCATTTCATCGGCGTTGTCTTTGCCCATCACTTGCAAATTCTGCTTCAAAGTTGACCCAAGAAACTGCATCAATGCCTTTATGCAATGCTTTATTTATCAAAAAAACAGGGCTAAGAGACTGAAAATATTAAATATATGGTCAACTGATATCTTAAAACTGTCTAGAAACTTCTGCCAGGAACTTTAAACCACATGTTGATGTGACTGGATGCCATTTCCATCACTGCTCTTTACCAGCAGATACAGATCAATACATCGGTTTTCAGCCAAACCTGTTGCTGTACAATATAATTTTTTCTGTTCATGAAACGCTTAAAATGTGTTGTTTAAACGTTAACGACTCTCCCACGTTTAATCGTGGTGATCTGGAGCGCTGTGACACGCGTGACGAGCCCAGCTGTAGTGACCGCGTGTGCCATCAGGAGACACTAATGTGTGTGATGTGCAGTTTAAGAGTTTGCATCCCTGGTGAAAGACTGGGAGCTGAAGCCGGAGAGAGGAATGAGTCATGTGCGGTGAATCATAGCCTCCCACGCAAAAGGAAAGGGGAGACGCATGCAGAAAGCAACAACTGCATACAAAATACACCACAGCAGCACACCATTAAGTAAGATACATCTCCACCTGCGTGAATGCTGTCTGCAGCACAGATGCTCAGCTGGATGAATGACACATTTCCACTCTTTGCTTTTTCTCACACACACACACTCACATTTCACAAGCAGAGCGATTTCCCTTCCGAGCTCTTTTGTGCCCCGGCCTACTTGTTTCCACAAACCTGCACTTACGACTGGGAATGTTGGAGGGAGAGGGTGCAAAATGAAAGGGTGGTCACACAAAGACGTTCTGTAATACCTCCTCCTTTCACTGCAGAGCCTCTCCCTCTCAAACCTGCACTTTTTCCCTTCACTCTTTTACACTGCAGCTCCCTCCTAGACTTCACCTGTATGACAATGGATGTAGGTCAATTTAGACAGATTTTTGTACATGATTAAGCCCTTTAGACAGGCAGCCACCGGTAACTCCGCTCTGAAACAAGAACCAGAGTATTCACGCTTTCGAGCTGGAGCTTCACCTGACCTTTGTAGATGCATGTAAAGCTTCAGGATCCAGACTGAGCCACTATGGTTGGGTAATATTAAAATCTACTCTGAATCTATTATCTGCTTTTCTATGCTTTATGAATAAATAAATGAGGCATAATTACCCTTAACTTCGTGTCATTGTCTTTAGTCAATGCCTGTAAGCACAAGAGGAGTCTGCATGTTGAAGCATATTAATGCAATGCCCAGAACAAAGTAAAGTGTGCACAAAAAGAGCAGCAAGCAAACATTGAGATCAGCTGTTTCACCAGGACAGAGCTCCCTTTTCCCAGAATATTTGTGGGTGAAAGCATGAAAGAATCCAAGTTATTACCCTCAGGGCTCCTACACATTTTATATCGCAGGGATTTGGCCTTGATTGATCTAAAATATTGATTGAGGATTTCAGTCAGTGTTGGATATATCGTAGTAGACAAGCTGCCATTTCCATTCACTTGTAAACCTGTAAAAGACTTCATTTTTGAAGTGATTTTGCCATGAAATCTGTCCAGCAGACCCTGTAGAACTGAATTATATGTTGAAAATAATGGCATTAATTAATAATAATGGCATTTGATGTTCAAGGTTATAATCTATAAAACATTTCAACTAAATTCAGTCCAGTTTTAAAAGGCGTCTAGATGTCTTTTCTGGGTTGTGCTGCTGTTATCAGCTGCTCCAACAACAAATTGAGAATTTGGGGAATATAATGGGTAAAAGCAACAAGACTCTGATCTACAAAATCTATTTTACTTCCATAAATCTTAATTAATTCCTGAGTGGCTTGCTGATGAGGACGATGGTGAGCCGCCACACTACACATATCTTTCTAACCTGTTAGCTGTTACTAAGTTTACTGACATAAATTCCACTTTTACAGTATCATGTGTTCTCAATTTTTATTTAATTGTGCATTTCTTCTCATTACAATGAAGGAAATCATATTTTTTGGTGATTTAAATCGCATACCAACAGATAATTACTGCTGGGTTTCATTAGCTAATGTTACTCAGACAAGTTCTTTCAGACGGCATTCCTCTCTGCTTTCACTGTCAGTTTAAATGTCTTCAGTTCCACAGCATTAAATAGAGAGCACACATTTGTGTTTAGCCAAGATATATTACAGGGTAAATAGCCAGAAAATCTACAAAGATTTGAGTTGTTCTTTTTTTTTTTTTCCTTTCGAGCCAGCATTCGTCAATTCACAATTTTTTTTTAGACCTGGTATTATCAAAATAATTTCCCTGACTTTCTTCAGGTGTGTAGGAACCCTGCTACCCTGAGGCACAATAATGCCTGCTGAGACAGAGATGGACAATCAAAAAACAGATTTACAGACAAAAACATTTTAGGATATGGGTACATTTGAGGACAGTTTGGGTCCAAACTTCTGTTAGCACTGATGCCAAACATCAAGTTAAAGCTACACAGCATAATCAATCCAAATCCTTGAGGCACTCCTTGAAAACCTGCATTAATATAAATAGCCAGAAATGCTAAATTATTCAACTTAAAATCCTTTCCAGTGCTTCTCCCTGTAATTGCTCGAATTAGCATTTATCATTTAGCAGAAATGCTAGAGCATCATTAGATGAAAAATATCACTTATGATAAAACTGCTGAGATGAGAAGCTGCTGCAGGTTGCCCATCGCTGCCTCCTGACCAGAAGAAGAAAAAGAGATGACACAATTGCTGCATCCAAAAAATATTGGTCCATTATTATGGACAATTTCCTCTCTGACTGCATTTGAGAAAATTATTTTTTGGATCTATTGGTGTCAATAAATGGGACACAAAATTTGCGGAATCTTTTGAAGGATTAAAATTCACAGCGAGAATTAAGCATGAGCCATTAAGCTCATCTGCTGTCAAGCATTTTTCACATTTCTTTGATGCCACATCTCCACCCTTCTGTACCTTTTGGTTGAAAAACAAATCAGTACCTCTTCACTAAAGGACAATGCAACAATCAGTGCCGTCTGCTGTAGCCAAAGCTGTTCTTTCACTTCATTATACTCTGAGGGGATGCTATTCTCCACTTGGCTTTTATGCATCCTTACCAGTGTGGCTCTGCCAAAAATGTAATTAAAAGATGGGTTATTAATCTCATGCTAGTGGCACAGAGACAAAATAAAACTGCATTAATTTTCAGCCTGCCTCGCACACAAGGGTGAGAGTGTGTTTGTGTGTGCAGGTCTATTATCAGCTGTACTCCCTGCTTATGACTAATGTGTAAGCCACATCTGCTCGTGTCCTAGATGCCTCTCAGTCAGCCATATCTTGCCCGGACCATCCATCTGGCTCTGACTGAGCAGCAGAGGGAACGTGAGAAACAAATCAGCGCCACCATCCTGCCCTCTAAACCACAGGGTCCGAGAATACCATTAATGGCCCACGTTGATGAAAATCACAGCCACTGTAGGCAAGGAGGCAGACACACAGCAATTCTGCACATAGTGCAGCAGTTGGAGTTAATAACTGAACAGTTTTCAGAAGCACCAATGGTTGTTAGATGAAAGTGGCAAGGTGAGCAGTTACCCCCAGAGAAAGGCAGAATAGAAAATGAAACCCTTCCGAGACAAAGTGACGACCTTTGTGACCTTGAAGAACCAATCCCAGAGTGCAAAAACCCACCCTGAGGTACCAAAGTGACAACTCTCCACTCTCACTTATTTCAGGAGTGCACATAATTATCCCTGGACACTTTTTTTAGTCATCCTTCAGTGTAAAAGCTGGGAGACAACAACGACCTACACTGACCGTTCGCTAAACCTCTCCCCTCTGAATATTGATTGTCCCATCATGGCACATCGGGCCTGTCAAGAATTGGTTTCTGGTATGGATGGGGCCCTAATAAGAGAGACCTCTGGCATTAAAAGAGTTTGGAAGGTGGTATCTTTTTTTTTAGCCTTCCCAAAAACACAAGCAAAAGTGAAAAGAATGAATCAAACAGTTTGTCACATCCAAAGTAAGCTGCAAGCATTAGCATGACCGGCTAACCAGCAGTAAAGTTAATCACTAATTAATTACTAGGCTAATTTTAGCTCTTTTCTGCTTTATTGAATTGAAGTTGAGACTACAGCCAATATTAATTAGATAGCGTTGTTGTTGAAACTGAGGTCTTCTAATGTTACAAGTTTTACTGTTTCAAAGTACAAACCAGCTAAGCTACAAAGCCAAGCGGTTTCTTTATTTTCATGTCTTTTATGTGGATCAACAGCTGCTGAGGATGCTGTCTTTTTGTTTGTCTGTTGTTTGTTTGTAGCTTTATTGTGTATGTAGTCATCAACTCAGTGAGAACATAGCGAGCTAGCTAGCTACATATAGCAGCTACAGCTCTCATCTTAGTCGACAATATCGTTACTTGCTATATTATTTTGTGTTGACTGTTATCTTTGTAAACTGCATATGTGCCACGTGAGAAACGGAAAGCTTGACAGGCATGGCAACAGTAACTAAGAGGGGTGGGGCTTAGCGAACAGGATTTTGGCAAATGCTGTCTATCTCTTACAGTATGTGTCTAGGCCGTACTGTCAGTAGTATAGGCAGACAAATGTTTGCCTGCGAGAGAGGAGCAGTGGAGAGAAGTGAATCCCGTCACTTTGGCCCCCCCGCCGGGCTCGTCGGTAAAAGGAGAATAAGCCCCCCCGAGGCCCCCAGTGGGAAAGAGAGGAATGAGATTTAGTTGACAGTTGACTGTCTCATACTCGTTTAAACAGACGTCCAATAGTGCTTTCTTCTTTGTTCTGCAAAACGTTTCAAAGTCAAAGAAATGTCAGTTGTTATCCGACAACATTTATGTAAAAATGTATCCACTAACAATTACTCTGTGCGTGTGTCTGTTTACAAACCTTGCTGCGAGCGTCAACGTTGAGCAGACACACCCCACAAGCCAGCTCCTTGGCATTCTTGATGCCGTGCCTCAGAATACAGGAGGAGAAATCTAGGGAGCTTTCATCAGGCTACACACACACACACACACACAAAAACAAAAAACACACACACAAAACAAATTTAATTTCCTGCTGCAGGGCAAAATGTAGTCATTTCTATTCTTATAATAACAGCAGTGAGAACAAATCTGCTTACAGTAAACATCTCCAAGCATCATCAACTCTGCTTGACTTCAACTATGTGGAGTAAAAAACAAACAATATACATCTTTCTTCTTCTAGGAAAGAGAGCTACCTGCATGCTTCAAATAAACAGTTCAATTTTGCTTTCTGTCCCTCCTCGAGATACTGTGTCTGTTTTATCTTCTGTAGTATGAAAAACAATATTCCTCCTCTGCTGACACGAGCAGGCAGCTGGATAAATAAATCTATACAGTCCCTGTCATCCTCGCTGATCCAAACACCAGCCTACCAAACAGGCTCCAGCAACCCAATCAATGAATCATTGATTTTAAACTAATGGACCAACAATACTAGACTCACTAACATTCAGCCTTTTTATTGCGAGCTGCTCCACAATGCTTTATTATCAAGTGTACATACATCTGTATATTTACTGTATAAACTTACAGCGAGCTTGGCCAGCGACATGAAGCCCATGAGGTTGTTCCACACACGGCTGATGTCCTTCAGCAGCTGCTGCAGCTTCTCGGAGCACACGGCTGTCGCCTTGATGCCCAGCTCCACACGCCTGGTGACGCGATACACTTCCACCACACCTGACAGAGGAAACACACAACCACACAAATCACAAAAACACGTTTTGTGCTCTTTTTGTTCCATTTTTCCCCTCACTGTGACACGTTTCCCGCTCACAGCTCATTAAAAGCGGAGGACCACAATAAGGGAGCAGGACCTTGTCAGACCAGGCAGAGATAAGCCATCACACTAGAGCTTGTTTTAATCTTGTCCTCTCTGTCCGTCTGTCCGTCTGTCCTTCAGAGGGTGTAAGGCCACACACAGGGTTCTTTAACAGTCCTGGCTTGTTTATAGTGGTGTGTGTGAAGGAGTGTGTGTGGTTTGAGACTCCTCACCCAGCAGGTACTCCATGCCCTGTGCAGACTGGATGACCTCGGTGCAGACAGAGGAGCTGCTGATGCCGTTCAGGATGTTGTTAGCTTTGGTGATGACCTTAATGTTGGAAGACAGAAGCCAGATTTATGACATAGCTACTGGGTTTTTTCATCATCATTCAATCATACAGTTGAACAACAACAAGCCAAGGAGTGTAGGTTTTTTTAGCCGTCTGTCTGCTGAAAAATTAACCACACTGAGTTTGATTGATAGACTAGCTTTGGGCAACTGCACACTTTACAGAGTTTAAAATTCTTTTAAATCTCAATCCTACAGGTATGTTTGCGCTAGTATAGAAAATTATTTGCCCCAAAATGTACATGATAAGAAAAATGTCAGCAGGTTGAAAAAACATTTCAGTGCCTTCTGGTTATCTTAATTACTCTACTACATTTGTATTGCCTCTCTCATAACTCAGTCTCAGGGTCAGGCACAGGAGGCAAACAAATACACACCTCCAGAGCATTTTCCAAACACCTTTGCCACTCGTACGCATAGCGCTCGCTCTCCTGCAACAACACAGAACAAAATTATCTCAAATGAACACAAAGGCAAAACAGAACAGAGGAACATTTTTGGACTCTTCAACAGTCGACTGAGTATTGTGTTGAAATCTGGTGGTTAATAACAATGCTAGCGTGCGGTGCAGTTCACGCCGGACCCTCCTCACCTCAACCTCCCCAGTCAAGTCCTTGTACTTGTCCCTGATGACAGGCAGGGCGGGCTTCTCACTCAGAGTGTTGGATCGGTCTCTGAAGGGCTGCTCTGGAGCCGGAGACGGGGGCGAGCGCCCAATCTCCTTGTCGCCCAAACTGTGACTGCGTTTGTGGGAGCCTGAGGCGAACACAGGAGAGAAGAGGGAGATGAATAATGTTACCAACAACTACAAAAACATATATAAACTTTTTCTTTTGCTCTATATCAATTCAGTAACCCATGATGATGACTCATTTTGAGATATGCACCTGTTTGTTTGCAATCATTATACTTCCATTCTGTTGCAGCTAATTCCTCGCGGACAAGGACAGCATGAGTAAATACTTAATTTGTGACAAACAATAATTACGTACAAAACAGAGGGACAAATATGCAGGTATGAATTATTCATACGGACTCACAGACGGACAAATCCTGGCAGGGTACCACAACAAACACATGCTAAACCCAGACTATTCCAGTGGGGCTGGCAGTTAGTGTGTGCCTGTGTGTGCCTGTGTGTGTGTGTGTGTTGTCCAAACACAGGTAATCTACCCCCCCACCCCCCCACAACTCCTCCACCACCCACAGAGGCATGCGTAATCCTCGCCCACAAACCCATCAGATTACTGTTTCATGGAGCGATGAGGAGTAAGTAAAGCCTGCTTCTTCACACAAATTAAAACCAACACGGGGAGGAAAATCTATGAGGCAAATGGGCTTTTATCACAGTGCAGGAAACGCTAATAAATTATTGGTGAAACATGACACCAGCAAACAGCAGTTAAAAAACGAACAGCCTTTCAGTGGATACGGTTAATTTCTGCTCATGGATTTGTTGGCCTCTGATAATCCATCTCACCAGTAACTGCCATTAGAGCAGGGCTGTCATCTCAACACTGCCATCTAATGTCTGACAGCTTTATTACAGATCAGATGGGCCTAACTGGTGGGGGTGGGGTGGGAGAAGATGCTTGAGGAGAGTGTTGTTGCGCCATTTTAGGGCCAAGGGCTCAGAGATGGCCAGCAGAGAGACAGTCTTAATTAAAAACATATAATGTTCGGTCAGAATTTTGATATTAATTATATTTTGCTAAAACTCTTAATCAAGTGAAAATTAGTTGTGCAAAAACATTTTCATTTATTTTCCGATTCTCTCTATTGAAGACATCATCTTGGGTTCTGGTTGATTGGGATATGTTATACATTTTCTAAACAACTGATTGGAGTTGGCAATTAATGATCATTTTCATTGTCAATTAATCTGCTGATTATTTTCTTGATTTTTTTCTAAAATGTCAGAAAAGAGTAAAATCTTCCCACAATCCAACGTGCCAATAGATAAACGAATGATGAAACATGTTGTTAGCTGTATTTCTATCACATATAGAAGTATCAACATGATGTTTGTGACTCACCTTGAACAGACAAGTCAAATGTTGCCAGTTCGTTCTTGATCATCTCCTCACTGGACTTGACTTTGGCCTGAGCGCTGGCTTTGATAAAGTCAGACTTGCCAAACTTAGGCTTGTCCCCCTGGAAGGCCCCAAACTCATCGGAGGCCTCGCTTTGGTTTCCCTCGGAGCCTGCCTCAGCAGTGGCGGCGGGTGAGTCGGACTTTTCAGAAACAGTACTTGCAAAATCCCCAAAGTCGTCCTCAGCAGTGCCATCGCCCTGGTCGGTGGAGCCAAAGTCAGCAAAGGCTTCAAACTTGTCCTCTGTCGATGAGCTGTCCTCTGTGGGGAAGGAGGTAGTGATCTTTGCTACGGAGCTGCTTGTGATGTTTTCGGTGCTGCCAAAGGTCAAATCCTTCCTCTGTGTTGGCACTAAAGATGGAAGGGAAGCTCCTTCCAAGCCCTGTGGCTTTCTGACCTCACCGGGCAGACAATCCTCCCGGTCTGACCAGTCGTAGCTAGTCAGGGTGCTGAGGTCCGAAGTCCCAAAGGGGTCAAATTTCATGTCGTCTCCTTCTGTAATGACAACACAGATATACCAGTGGTTCCTAGGAATAGCACAGATGCTGTCATGATAGGTGTTAGATTAATGAGCTTGGATGAGGGACTGAAATTCCTGTTGGATTATCGCTATCTACAGTTCAAGTGATATCTCTTTTCTTCTAATGGGAAATCGGTCTTGAGAGAAACTCATGAATTTTAAAGGGTCAGTCACCTAAGCGTTGTGTAGCCATGCAGATAATTTTTTATTACCAGTATATATATGTATTTTGATATATCTGTCCACCAGTACAATGGAGGTGAGTGACACAACAAAACTTAAACATCTTTTTCTAAAAACAATGTTATGGGTTACCCTGGATAATATACACACCTTGCTGTGGACAGTTTTCATTGGAACACCTTTCAACCAAAGAAATAGTCACTATGAACAAAGTAGTGCAGAGTAACCTGAACGTTTGATTTTAAAAAGAGGTATTTCTGTTGTATTCATGTCGTTTTTCAACCCTGTAATCACCAGAAATTAAAGTCCATTCACCTACATTGTACTGGGTTAGGGGCCAAAATTGTACAGATACCTTTAAACATGTGCAGATAAAACCTAAACTATCTTCCACAGGGCTAAACAGCACTACAGGTAAATGGGAAAACATGTTTTGTTCTCTGGGAGAAAAACTGACCCTCTAACTTTACTGGCATCCTATGTAGCATAACCTTCAACATAGAAAAAATTAGATTATATGTATTGTTAAAAAGGACCCCCTACCCATATTTTACCATTTAAAAGATGTGAAACCAAATTCTGCAACACACAGGCAACCACATCATAATTCAGCACATTCATGACGCAGACTACATTATTATACTAGCACTTGACTCACTGTTGTTGTAGCAGTAATAATACCTACAATGTTGGAGTAATGCATCCTCTTGCCCACATTTTTGAGAGAGTTCTGTTTAATAAATTACCGTGCGAGGGGTAAACAAGTTGTTTTGATGTCTGCGCTGAATCATGTTTATGAGAAGAAAAATACTGCCATCATTTTACTGAAACACAATGAGCACTAACACTGTGTCTTTATAGTGGACAATCTCTCTACTCTCATTGGTGACAAACTGCTCCCCTAACAATAATCAGAGTTGATGTCTTTATACCAAATGCAACCTGAAGGATTGTTATCAATAAAAGATGTTTCCTGTCACTACATCTGCTTTGTTTTTTACACTGTGTTGTGTTGACAGAACACAGTTTGTGATCAGTTTCTTTATGACTAATACAAACTGACAGCTTGCACACATTCGTCAACACTATAGTATTAAGGTCTCCCTCTCCGTTCCTCTCACACACACACACACACACTCACAAACACACACCGACCTTGTTGAACCCTTCCTATTTTGCAAGACAGAACCCTCTGATACAAAAAGCAATTTGTGAAATTGACAAGGACCTAGTGCTGTAAGCCTTGTGTCATTAGATCACTTTACGGCCTCTTAAGAAAGGAAAGGAGAAAATAAGACGGTACGCATTTCAGCAATACCAACAGTAATATTTATTACGACAACATGAGTAGAGAGAAAGAGAGAAAGGTCACAAAGTACTGTGAAAGAGGTCTATCATTACAAGAGGTTTGTCAAACTAACACTTGTAAAATTAGATTTCAGTCATTTAGAATACAAGGGCATGCAGAGTCAGGAGAAAAGGAAGAAAACAAACAGCGAGAAGGTAAAACAAAGATAATCCGAGGATATAGAAGCAGAAACCAGAATGAGAAGGCACATTCACAGACTAAATTCAGTAATTCTGGGGAGATGACAAACTTTGTTTTACTATTAGGATGTAAAGCAACAGGCGTTTTTTTTTGGAAAAGATATGAATACAGAACACTTGAAAAGCCAAGTTGAAAAAGATAATCCAAAGAACAAGCTCAAGGCAGGAAGAATTAACCCTTTGAGGACCTGAGAGTGGGATATTGGTAGAGAATCCCAAAGATCAATGCTTGTTTGAAAAGGCTGTGTACAAACTGCACTTTGGGAGCAGTGAGGACTTAAGAGCCACAATTTAAGAGCCTGCCATCTTTATACATTTACAATAATGAAATAAGATCCCGCTGTTTACTCTCATAGCGAATAAAAGGAGATGATCACAATATCTGCATTAATCCGTGTGTAAAAACATGAAGTGATCTTCATTCAAGCACTCAAAGGGTTACAGAAAACAAAGAGGGCCATCCTTACACCTGACACCCCACAAAGGGCCTTAATTTACATCCAATCACAGATGCAGAAACAGATTTAAAGAGACAGTATCCTTTTTCTCTTGCTACAGTGATTGTTTGTCAAAGCAGGCTAATGTGCACAAAGTCTTATGATCTCCTAAATAATAGCACATCATTATTACTCAAGACAACAATGTTTAGTTTGGAATGTTAACCTAAAATATTTTAATTAACATTTTAATTTTACTAAATGCTGTAGGCTACATTAAATTTACATAGTTGGCAAATCACAACAAGATCAAGGAGTCTTTCATAATAAGAGCTCATATTCCTGTAATAAAAATACACTATTAAATCTGTATACATTTTTTTTTCTTTGATAAAAACAACTTGCAATACTATTATGCATAAAATGGTATCTTGTATTATGTTCTTGTCAATTTCACAAATTGAAAAGGCAGGCACACTGCAGCAAAAAGCAAGGCAGGAAGGGTAATACTAACTTCATTATGTTCTCAGAGAGCCAGACCGTAGAGCCACACATGATAATTCATGCTGCAATATCACAGATAACGGTGAAAAAAGAAAAAAAAGAAAAAAGAAAAATCTGATTCCTTTTGTGCTCCAGACTCAAAAGGAATCTCACAAAAGAAATACTGTCTCTTTAAGATTAGGTACATGTCCAAGAAACACAGTGCAAAGCATGGTGAGGTGCTCAAACTGCTCGGCCTGCTACACTTTAAACAACAGGTTAGTCCCAGAGCTCTCCAAGAACAAGAACATTGGATAAATAAGGGTGGAGGGGACATGTGGAGCAGCTGTTACAGTAGCTTAAAAGCTTCTTAGGAATGTATCGATGTTAAACTGGGCGCCGTCTTTGCCCGATCAGCAGTAGTGTAACTGCTTTGCTGCAGCTGCATGGACTGTTTGTTTGAACACATCATCCTACTCGTCAGTACAGAGGGGCCTGTTTCAGGTTAAACCAAAGTTCGACCACTGTACAGGAACTGAAATAAGGCAAAGGGGACGTTTACATTTATGATTTCTTCTTATCAATTCGTAGGATGAAATGATACGGTATATCTGTTGTTAAACTGATAATTAACTGATATGTTGGGAATACTTAAAGCTTAGAAACAACTGCTGTCCATGGAGAGAGTTGAATGCATGAGTGAAAAAGTGCCACTGTTGTTAGGTGAAGACTTTCAACTTTCTCAACCCGCAGAAAATCGTGTGAGCATCCAAAAAAAACACAAAGAAGAAGAAGAAAGCTTTCACTTGACAACAATTACACGCCGTCTCGGGTTACATTAAGAATTAGTCTTGAGTGTTTTCTGTGAAACATGAGCCATGACATGGAAGGTGAGATGCTCGATGAATAAATGATGAGCACTGGAGAGAGGAGAGGGAGCGCGGACATGGACATTACCTGATTATTACAGAAACTGGGTCGATTGCCTTTTAATAAATGACCCAACAACAACAAGTTATAGGTAAACTTTAACTCCACTTTCATGGACATGAGGTAGGGGGTAAAAAGCTGACACGCTTTTAGGGAAACATCTCATAATTAGAGGGCAATTTGAACCAAATAATACTGCATGGCAAATCTGAAATACTGCAGGGTCATACAATAGCTGACACAAAAGCACGCTCTCACATTCAAACATTCTCATCTGAAAATTGTACTGCATCCAGCAATGATGTGCCTTCACTGTTGCTCCATTTCAAAGTAGCTTGTTCCCTGTTGTTGCATGCAAAATATCCTATTTACGGAAACATTTCATTTCCAGCTAATCAAAATTATATTATCTGGTACGCATTCAGCACAAACAAAATGTCAACAGTTAAAAAGGTGAATGATGGCTTACAGATAATGCCCTTGGTAAACTGCAGCCTATTGTGCGAAGCCTGTGATTAGAATAAACAAGAGGATCATCACCACAACACCCTCCTGTACTCGTCTGTATTCAAGTCAACCTTTCTGTTGGCACTGCACGACACGTCAGCAACGCGCGTGCACAAACACACACATACACGCATGCAGAGTTCAGCCTGTGGAGACAAAAGGTACACTGAAGGGAAGCGAGATGTCTGCCACTGCAGCGTGGACACAACAGGGAGCTTATCCGAGTCACACAGACAGCAGCCGGGGACCTCGTCTATGAACTATGACTGCCAATACATCAAAACCAGGCACTCATCATCGTTTGTAAATAAATAGAGATATGGGCCAAGACCTTTCTGTCATGACAATAATAATATATGCAGGGAGAGAGGGAGGGGAACGTGGAAATAAAAACAGAAGGGAAGAAGGAACTAAGGATTCGAATAAATAAATAAATATATAAATAAACAAGATGCGATGAATGATGAAATGTAGTGTGAAAGATGTGATGCGTCTAAATCTGATATGGTATTCATGTAGTGTTATGTCTGTCTTCAGTACTTGAGCATATTCAATTCAATCAGGACCTCATTATTTTGCCTTTTGACCTCTCATTTGGTGATCACAAGTGGGCACTGAGGACGAGAGGCCACTGTTGGCCTTGAAATTAATACTGTGTGTGGCTGGACGGGGCCTCACCAGAGCAATCGCACTAGTTCCTCACCTGTAGCGGGGGGCTGGTGGGCCGAGAGACCCGGCAAATCCAGAGAGCTGTCCGACATCACATGTTTCAGGTCTCCGCCCATGTCCGACAGCTTCATGTCCAGCTGCACTGAGAGTGCGTCCTCGGAGTCGTCCTTTCCTACACTGCTCCCCCCAATGGACGGGAGGTCGAGGGACTTGACAGAGGCGGAGTCCTCTTTGGCCTGTTTGAAAGCGGCCACCTTGTCCACCAGAGTCTTTTCCGAAGCCCCGAGCGCTGTGCAGAATTTCGAGGACTGAAAGTCGGCAAAGTCATCGGTGTCACTCTTGAGAGAAGAGAAGGAGCCACCGCCACTCTCTTTAGTGTCATCGTAGGCCAGGCCTCCCTCCAGAGACAGCTGTTTGAATACGTCGTACTTGTCTGAGCTCTGCTGAGGTCGTTGTTGATTGGAGGTCTCTCCTTGGACCCCCGCGCTGCTCTCGCCTTTAGGCTCCCCACCAGAACTGCCAAACGCCATGAAGTCCGCAAAGTCGTCCTGAGGCGCTGCCACAGCTCCTCCTGCTGCTGAAACTTGAGCAGCATCAGAGGAGGAGCCGAAGAGGGCAAAGTCACCAAAATCATCTGCACTTCCCCCTGGAGGTTTGGCTCCACCTGGTAGGAGCACTAGAGAGGGGGGCACGGACACTGAGGGGAATGTGCTGGGTTTTGTCTCAGTGGGGGCAGGAACAGAGGGAGCTATAGAAGAGAAAAGGTCCAGGTCGGCCATGTTGAGGGGATTTTTGGGTTGAGAAAGAGACACTGCTGGCTGTTGCTGCTGCTGCTGTTGCTGCTGCTGCTGCTGAGGGAGGGGGGCAGTGGTGAAGTGCACGCCGAGTCCCACTGCTGACATCAAAATGGAGGCCATGCCTGGAGCAGGGTAGAGTGGGGTGGAGCGGGGTGGAGCAGGGTAGGGTGGGGTGGGGTTGAGGTGGGGCGGGGGCAGAGTGGAGCAGGTGAGGGGTTGAGAGCAAATGGAGAAATGCAGGAGTAGAAAGGAACAAATCAAAGGTATGAGAAATGTAGCAGCAACTGATGTTTCCACTGTGTCCCTCATTCACCCACAACAGATACAGCAACAAGTACTTTCAAATTAAAACCAAACTGATCTGCACACAGCCAGGCATGTCTCTTTCTTCAACGCCAAAATACTCGCCCTCACACATCGTCCGCCGACCTCGGACCTTTTCTCTCTTATTAGCTCCGCTCTGTCGTCCTGCCGCCCACCTGAGGACGCAAAGG